GGTGGGACCCCCTGCGCTCGGTAGAGTACGTTTCTCGGTCCTGCATGGCTTGCTCGAGGTCCCTATGTAATGCTTCCCTACGCGATCCTGTTTGGAGAGCTTCCGCCAGCTTCGCGTGGTCCCAGCGCGGCTTATCATCGCGGGGAATGAGAACGGGGCTCTCATGAAGGAGCTCCAGAATCACAGGGAGGTGGTCCCGAGGGGTACTTGTCGGGATCAGCTGTAGAAGGCGGCCCGCTCTCCAAGCAACTCGACATTGTCCGACTCCAGGTCCCAGGCCCTTCGGGATCGCGAAGATGTCTAAATTGGACTTGCCGCCCTGGGTACCAAAATATGTCGGTCCTGATCGCAACGTGTAGGTCCCAGGGGCCATGAGGTCTAGATCCAGAAGCATTTCCGTGAAGATCGCGCCCGCGGGGCCATTCTTCTTGATGTGATAAGGGGCCTAGGTGGCTCTGGTCGGGGTCCACTGGGGAGCCGTCCTCCAGGAGTTCGAAGCCCGAGTTGATGTCTAATCCCAAGATTTGAGTACTTCTAGCCCGACATTGTTCGACTCGATTACGAACGTATTTCATCACGTTGACTGCAGCGTCTTACTGGGCTCGTCGTTTGCGTCCTGCTCCGTGTAGTGGGGGAGGGTAGGCACAAATAGCCGTCACATCCAGAAGTCCTGATTCCAATCGGATTTCCCCATATCTTCCAGCGAAACTGCGCGGCCCAGGAACAACCGAGTAAACGTGTCCCGCCCGAAATCGACAGCCCAATATGATACAGATGCCTGCACTGCTGTTGCTGTAAGGTGCTCGCTTCCATCCGAAATGTATTGCTGTGTAGTGCTTGCCCACATCCTCAGTATGGTAGTCCCGTGCCTCCCACTCCCTAATACACGTCCCTGGCATCATTATAATATCACAGTCCAGTTCAGTACAACTCTCTGCAGCACGACCAGTGGGTCATATAGAGAGAGGGTTATACACTGCAGCTCGAAGAAGGCTGCTCATCGCCACCAGTCCGCCGCATAGGCTCGCGACATGCATCAGCGGCCGAGCATGGCAAGCCTGAGGTGCCGACCACTGGGGGATCGTCAGTCTTGGAATCGCCTCAACCTTCATTATGGTGTTTGTGTGTGTGTGACTGAGGCTGGAGGAGGAGGAATCACCCTCGACAGCCATGAGCAGCAGCAGAGGAGGAGGAGGAGGAGGAGGAGGAGGAGGAGGAGGAGGAGGAGGAGGAGGAGGAGGAGGAGGGGGAGGAGGAGGGGGAGGAGACGGAGGCGGAGGCGGAGGAGGACGAGGACGAGGCTTGGGACGATGCTTGGGTGCGGGGGGTCGCGCACCGCGCCCCCGCACCCTCTCCGCCGGGCACGCTCCGGGGCGCTCGGGCTGCGGGCGCGCGGCTTCCTCGAGCTTCCCGGGGCTCCGCGCCCCCGCGCGCGACCCGCGGCGCCCTCGCTGGGGGCAGGCAGCCGCCGTCGCCGCCGCCCTGGGCGCCGCCCAGCGGCCGCGATTGCCCCCCGCCGCCGGTAACCCGCGAGGCCCCCCGACGCCCAGAGGTCGCTGGGGACCCGGACCTCCTCGCGATGGGAAAAACAACAAAAACCATTGCGATGTTTTCCGCTATGTTCGTCCCCCGGGGGCCTTTCCCGGGCCTCGGGACCGTCACAAAGACGACTCTATAGGCGAAAGAGCCGCTCACGGGGAAAGGGTCCAGGCCTTTCTGGTGGCCGCCACCGAGCAGGCCGCAGGCGGCGGCAGGCGGAAGGCCCGGCCCCGCCGCTGCTGCCTGGCCGGCCAATTGGCCGTCGGGCGTGGCAGCGGGGCGGGTGGCTGCCGCAGCGCCTGCTCCGGCACGCCACGTCCGCCCAGGCTCGGGCCTCCTCGCCGCGTCCTTCGCGTGGGTCTCCCGCGGCTCTCGCCATGGATCGCGGGCTCGTGCGCAGGCGTCGTCGGCGACAGCGCCCCCGCCCCGGGCGTCCGCGAGGCCCACGGCACCTGGGGTTCCCTGCAGATTCCGGCGCCATGCCGTCGGGCAGGTCCTCGGGGGGTGCCCTCCATCGAGCCCTCGGCCCCCTCCACCGCTGGAAGCGGTGCGGAGGGTGACTGATGGGAGTCCGCAGGTGGTCGCGAGACACTCGCCCAGCCTGTGAGCGCGGGGGGGAACAACAAAAAACAACAACAAATATCTGCCGTCCTCTGCGCGCTGCAGTGCCCATGGCCCTCTCTGCATTTGGCTTTGTCTGCCTTGCACTTCTCTGTGTGGCAGCTGGGTGCGGTGGAGCCCACCTCGTCCCGTAGGCCCGCGAGGCTTCAACGCCCGAGGGTCACTGGGAATGGAGGGACGATGCCACCAAGCTGGTCCGTGGGGTGGGTGTACCTCCTGGCCATGGCTCTGCGCTGCCTCCGTCGGCTGTTGCTGCAGGATGTCGGTCTGTCGGTCTTCTGCAGGTAGTCCTGAAGCCGCACTTGCTGCTGCCGCTGCTGTCGCCAGGAGCGGAGACACGCTGGCTGCGGTACTTCCTTTGCGGCCACTTGGGTTACCTCCATCTGGTTGCACAGCTGTTCTATGCCCGCTTCCATGTGGGGCTGGGCCCGCAGCGGCTGTACAGTCGGGGCCCTGAAGAAGGAACCCTTTTCGTTGGGCAGGGGCTCCGCGTTCCTTAAGTGTTTCACAGCTTGCCTCAGGCTTTCCTTATGTTTTCGACGGGAAATCGAAGGTTAACTTATGGAAAAAAGGGGCCTCGTTCCTTATTTTGGGTTCCTTAGGTCAAGCCCCCGACTGTAGCCTCCTCGTCGTACTGTCCTCGCGCCGCGGTGCTCTGCTCCTGCGACCCACGGAAGCTTACCACGAGCTGGTGTTCTTCCACCGCCCTGCAGGTGCCGCCAGCGGTGCCGCCTGGCATAGCTTGGAGTATGGCGGTCATTCAGCTTCCCGCACTGCTTAGCCAATGCGCGCTGGTATTCAAGGGAGGAAACACCACCAGGGCTGGACAATTGGCGTTTACTACACGGCCCTGGGCGTTTACTAGAAGCCCTGCCCTGTTCGATTTCTCTGGGTGCGTTTACTAAACGGCCTCGCTTGTCGGGGTGGTTAGTAGTTATGGGGGAGGATGTTTTGCCCTCTAGGCATATCTGCTCCGCCATGGTGCGCAGCCTGCTGATTAGCTCCGCCAAGGATAAACTGGCCCCCTGCGCCTTGCAGAGTGCGGAGTACGTGTGGGATGCAAGCTGCTCTCCAGCTATTCAGCGCACCTCTGCCACCTGCGGGTAGGAGGAGGAGGAGGAGGAGGAGGAGGAGGAGGAGGAGGAAGAGGAGGAGGACGACGAGGAGGACGAGGAGGAGAGGTCTTCCAAAGCACGTTGGTGGTTCCTGGCGTTGATCTGGGCCATCTTTGGAGTGCCGGGTCTGGCGCCAGGGTCTTGTTTCCAGCCTTGGCCGTTCTCTTGGGCTCTCCGTGCCGTGCCGGAGCGCGGGGAGAGCTCGCTTGCATCCGAAGGGGGAGGCATGGCGGTGTCCGTAGCCTGGTCATCATTGAACGACGATCCCAGCCTGCCCATCCTTCGTTGCTGTGCGGCTCCACCGGGCGGGATGGGAAGGAGGAGGGGGAAGCAGGGGAGCAGCAGGACGAGAGGAGGGCGGCGACGACGACGACGGCGACGTTGGAGCTGTCGGAGTGATGGGGTTGGCTCTGAGGAGGCGCGGGGAGGACCAGAGGGGGCCAGGGGATACGGGCGAGAATCGGAGACCCATAGACTGCAGCAGCGTACACTTTCGGAGGTTGGCGCGCGCGTACTTCTTGGGCCGGCGATGGATCCCACTTCACGCCACCCTACGGCGGCGCCTCCGGCTCCACCCGTGGCTCGCAGGAGGCTGCTCCAGCGCCGTTCGTGGCGTTCGAGGGTTTTTTCAGGCGAGGAGGGCGATGGTGCACCTGCGCAAAGAGACAGAGAGAAAGAGAGAGGGAGAGACAGACAAGGGAAAATAGAGAGAGAGAGAGGAGAGGGGTTCCCAACGTTTCGAGCTCAGTGTGTGGCGGCCTTGCTCACATGAAGCTGAATTCCCAGACTGCATGGTTCGATGCTTTCCAGATGGCTCCCCATGTGCCCACCAGTGACGTTATCTGTGGTTCACAGACCACGCCCTTTAGGATGCATGTATCGCCAGATATTTTTATCGTTCGCCAGGCTGTCCCAAAGCCCATGGCCACACACACACACAAACAACACACTGCACCAGTCGTGCTCGTGCCTTCGGTTCAGTTTGGCCGTGCAACTCGGAATGCCCTCGCTGGGGGTGCTTGTGGCCTTCGGCTTGGCTTCTTCAGGATCGTCGATTGGCTATTGTATCGCGGACCCTCTCACACGCGCTCGGTTCGCGCCGCGTCGACGCGGCCGAGGCTGCAGTTCCACAGAGCTAAGTTGTAGCCGTCTCAACGGCTATGCCAGGTTCGCGCCGCGTCGCCGCGGCGACACCCCCGCGTTGGCGTCCAAGGCTGCACGCCGCCAGTGGCTCAGAATCGGGCGTCATGGAACGATCTGGCGGTCGGAATGCCGCCGATCGGTCAAGGCTGAGCGATCCTCGTGGTGTCAGAAGCCATCGCCGAAGCCGTCACGACACGACCCTGCCGTACTCCAGCAGGCGTGTCCTGGCCGTCCCCTACCGCGTGGTTTGGCGCGGGGGTGCGTGGCGTGATTGGAGCGCGTCGAGCGAGCGGCTGGATCGGTGAGTTGGCGGGTGGTGAGCGAAGCAGAGATGGGTGGTGAGTGGATGCGTGAATTGGTGCCCTCCCTCCTCCTCGTCTCCTCCTCGTCCTCCAGCCTCGGCCGGGACACGGTGTTGGGAGCTCCGCGCTTGGCCTGGCCCCTCCCTGTAGGCCGCTCTCCACCGCCTCTCGCACGAGGGACGGCAGGGAGGGAGGGGGGCGAGCGAGCGAGTGAGGATCTGGGGATGTGCAGGGTGCGGTCGCTCGATTTTCTCCGAATGCCCCTGGGATGCATCGCCAGGACGGTCGGCGAGTTCGTGGCCAGCGGTGCGGAGGACATGAAGGCGCCTGCCCGCCGCGGCGAGGCGAGGGCGGGGCATGACGGGCCTGTGCGCGCGCCCTGCTGCCGTGCGTGCGCGGCGTCTCGTGCGGGGGCGCGCCCGGCCTCGGGCAGGGTCCCCGGGGGACGCGGCTCGGGCCACGAGCGCCGCGGAGGTGATTGGCGGTCTTGGCGGTCGGAGCGTACGCGCTGTGTTCGGAGTGCAATCGACCCGCGTAGTCTGGGTGGGCAACCTTCCCAAGGGCACCCTCGCATCCCTGCCTCCTCGGCCCCTCCTTGGCCACTCTCGTCGGCCGCGCCCCGCTCGGGAAGCTCCGGAATGGGCGTTCCCGGCCCTGGCATTCTCATCGCGCATCCTTACGATACGGGCCGCTTGCGCAGATGGTGTTGCCATGTGAGCTGGGGCACTTCGCAGTTCAGGTCCTGGCCCGCGGAAGCCGAGTCGTATTTTTGCGGCAGACGCGGTTTCTGTCTAGGCATCCGGTTATTCGTGCTCAACCTGGATATCCTGGAGGAGCATACTCCACCTGATTCCAAACGCTAGTACGTTTTCTTTGCGTGTGTATGTGTGCGTGTGTGTGTGTGCCAGTGTCGGGTGCACGCTGTCTGTCGCGTGCGTGCGTTCTCCCTTTCGACCCGACATCGCGACACATTGCAACTTCGCGAAACAAAACACGACCAGAGCAATAGACCCCATCCCTCTGCGTCATTGTTTGAGCTGGATCGATCCGTGATGGTCCTGGGCCCTGGAGCCAAGCGAAGACGCCGGTGCTGACAAAAACGCAACGCCTGCACCTCAGGGTTCTCCGCTTCACCAGACGTCGCTCTGTTGTCGCCGTCGCCGACGCCATCGCCTCTGATTGCGGGGAGCATATCTATATATATATATATATCTATATATATATCTATATCTATATCTATATCTATATCTATTATATATATACTCGGGGGCGTAGGACCGATGCTCCTTGTCAGAAGTCCGGGGAGAGGCGGTATCGGTACCTTCTGGTCTCCCCAGGTGCGCCGCCCTTCCGGGGAGGGGGCACGCGCTGACTTCTTCCCTGGTTGGCGAGGCTGTGAGACAGTTTGGGGCGCTGACTCGGCACCCCGGTCTTGTTGGCATCTTGTCTTCAGGCGCGTTTCGGTCAGGGGATGGGGTGCCGCCCGCCCGCCCCGCCTCCCGAGAAGGCTGCCCGCACCGCTCCAGAGAGCAGGCAGGCGTGCGGTGGCAAGCGTGGGGCGGCTGTGCCAAGAAGCGCCACGCTTGCCTCCAGGATGCCCTGGGTTTCCTGGGTTTCGATGGTTCTGCGAGGAACCGCGTGGCGTTCCCACACCGAGAAACGATGGGCGTCCTGGTGCCTCGGGTTTGGGTCTCCTGTGGAAGGTTTCTTGTGGACTGGCCTCCACTGTAAGCGTGGGGCGGCCTGGGGGATGTGCGCCTTGCCTGAGATGCGGGCGCTGTGATGCTTTCACACAGATGTCACCACATATGTTGCACTGCACACACAGCTTGGATGGTACCACCTACACCGCTTTCATACATCGCACAACACACAACATCGCACAACATTCATTGCACAGCTTGGATGGTACCACCTACATTGCGCCACATAAGTTGCACCACATAGCTTGCACCGCCGAGGTTGCACCACGTGAAAGGCGCCACTCAGAGTCCACTACATATATTGCACAACATACAGCGCACAGCATAGATCTTACGACATTGGCTGTGCCGTCATATTGCACCAGGCATTGTGCACCTCATAGATCGCACAACTTAGAATGCACAGCATAGATCGCACCACATCTATTGCATCGCATACATTGCCCCGCATAGGTTGCACCACATAGGTTGCACGACTCATATTGTGAACCATGTATTGTACCACGCTGGCTAACATGCTCATGCTGTATAGTCTTGCATAGAAGTTGCGTGGTACGCTCAGCATGCGTCCACGTATGCTCGTTTTGTGTGTATACCATATGCCCGGGTCTGCGCGGGCGTGGACATACTTGCACATGCTGTGTGAGTGTGTATAGGTGTTTGCGTGTGTTTGTGGTTGTGTGCACATTTGCGGGGCAAACGTGTGCGTGTGTGCGTGTGTGTGTGTGTGTGTGTGTGTGTTTGTGTGTGTGTGCTTTTTTGCGCAAGCGCGCATGTGCTCATGGTTGCGGACACCCGCATGCACGTGTATGTGTGCGTGCGGGCGCCCGAACGCACACTTTCATTTTGCACGGCGGACTGGTTCATGTCTGCGATGGCAGTACCGCCCATGCCAGTTCGTATGAGATGTAAAGTCAAGTGCGGCAGCGTCTTCTCATGCGCAACCCGTACGTGGCCAATCGCAGGCGGTTTCGGTCTAGCATTGCGGGTGGTTTTCGTGCCGCGCGACAAAATGCACAGACACCTTCTTCTGGATTGTTCCTGGGCCTCAGGGTTGGGCGGCGGTTTATAATGCACCACTGGGAGCCAGCGACTTTCTACACCGACGCCCTTCCTGGAGGTGTATTCAAAAGTCGTCGGAGGGCGTCCGTGTATATACGGAGCACCCCGCAGATGCGGATGAGAGTGAGGGTGCGGTGGGGACGTCGGCAGTTTGCGAGACTCTGGAGAAGCCCGCCGCAGGCGCCAACATTTCACACATTATACAAAGAGCCCGCCGCAGGCGCCGTTTTCTCGTTAAAACAATGTGGGTAGGTCGCGGGTGGGTCGCGGGTGGGTCGCGGGGTGGGTCGCGGGTGAGTCGCGGTTGGTTGGCGAGTGTAGTGGGCAGAAAATCCACCCCATAATAACTACCTCGAGAAGCGAAGCCGTTTAGTAAACGCACACAAGGAATGATTCGAATAGGGCAGGGCGTTCAAGTCAACGTCCGGGCTCGTTTCAGTAAAAGTCAATTGTCCAGTTTTGGTGGTTTTTCTTCCTTTGACGGTGGGTCGCGGGTGGGTCGCAGGGAGGTCGCGGGTGGGTCGCGGATGGGTCGGGGATGGGTCGCGTGGTGGGTCGCAGGGGGGTTGCGGGGTGGGTCGCGGGTGGGTCGCCGGTGGGTTGCGGGTGGGTCGCGGGGTGTGTCGCGGGGTGGGTCGCGGGTGGGCCGCGGGGTGGGTCGCGGGGTGGGTCGCGGGGTGGGTCACGGGGTGGGTCGCGGGGTGGGTCGCGGGTGGGTCGCGGGTGGGACGACGACAACAAACAACAACACTGAGAACAACGACACCAACAACTCAACAAGCAGAATTCTCACCACGAATTTCTCATTCAGCCACGCACCCAAGGACAATGAATGACCGTTCGGCCCCCTCACTCTGATATTTTCGAAGCGTATCCATCGTTAGCACACTATCTGACGGCTTGTGTTCTTGCCCAGACCCCCGTGCCAAAGTTGGACCGCGCGCATGACGGGCCGCTTGGAGGCTTCAGAGGTTTCCGGAGGTCCCCAGGGCCCCCTGGAGGCCTCTGGGTGCAAATGGTGCACCGAGGACTTCCAAAAATGTCCGACCAACTCTGCTCAGCTGCCCAGCATGAACAACTTCATGGCGCTCGTGATCCGCCAGAGGATCAACGAGGTCTACCCGAAGCTCACGGTCGAGAAGAGAGGAAGCGCGTCAAATTTTCACCAGGAGTATCGGGCTCAGCAGACAGATCTTAATGAGGAGTGATTTCCGAACGTGCCGAACGTGCCCGACGCGATTGCAGCGAAGTTGGCGATGCGATGATGGGGCAAGTGAAGTTGTATCGCTATATTCGCCATTATTCTAGGGGCGGCAGCAGCCGTCGGCAGGGGGGAGCTGTCCTCCCTCTCCTCCTGGGCTGCCCCCCTCATGCTCCTCGCCTCATCCCTCTCCTTTCCTGTGTCTCGCCGTCTTCTCTTCCGGACCTGTGCCTCTGGGCCCAGGCCAGTACATGTTTCATGCTCCTCCGCCTCCTGCGCCTCAGCCCTCTGCCCCCGCCCCTTCCTCCTCCTCCGCCTCTGCCCCTGCCTCCCGCCCCTCCCCTGCACCGGCCCCGAGGCCTCCCATCGCCCAGAGGACCCCCCTCGCCCTCCGGATCCTCCTCCCCCCCCGTGGCGGGTGGCGAGAGGGCCGGAGGTGGGGACGCGGGCGGAAGCGGACCCCGGCGGGCGGGCTGCGGAGCAGCCGCCCGACGAGGCGCCCCCCGCCGCAACCGGGCGGCCCGGCCTTCGCGCCTGGCCTGCCCGGAAGCGCGCCACCCTCGAGGCTGCTGCTCGAGACAGCCCCGCGGGGGCCCACTGCCTCTTGCACGTCGCGCGGTGCCGTGGCGAACGTGGGGGGGGGCAACCTCCTCCTCCTCCTCCTCCTGCTCCTCCTCCTCCTCCTCCCTCCTCCTCCCTCCTCCTCCTCCTCCTCCTCCTCTCCTCCTCCTCCCTCCTCCTCCTCCTCCTCCTCCCCCTCCTCCACCTCCTCCTCCTTCCTCCTCCTCCCTCCTCCTCCTCCTCCTCCTCCTCCTCCTCCTCCCTCCTCCTCCTCCTCCTCCTCCTCCTCCTCCTCCTCCTCCTCCCTCCTCCACCCCCTCCTCCTCCTCCTCCTCCTCCTCGTCCTCCTCCTCCTTCCTCCTCCTCCTCCTCCTTCTCCTCCTCCTCCCCCTGCTCTTCTTCCTTTGGTGCCGGAGCTCTCTCGCCGTGAACTGCCTCGGTCACCGCTCCACGGGCCCGCGGCCATCGGCCCGCATCCCGCGCGGGGTCCACCTTCCGAGGTAGGGGTTCCGTGTTGGTGTTGCCATCCTTGTGGACCAGCATTTCAACAGTTGGGGCAAGATGGGGCCCAAGATGGCGCAAGGTGGGGCCAGGGTTTAGGGTTTAGGGTCTAACAGGCTTGGCCACGAGTACAACTTGCCCACGAACCCACCTGCGGTGGCCGTCAATCCCACCCGCAAGCCACCCCACCATAAAGATCATCTCTCCTCTCCTTGGAACAACATCGGTGCACAAACACGACGGCAAACGACGACGAGGACGACCGCGCAATAGCAGAGTGGCGGGACGACGACGACGACGACGACGGCGACAACGGATGTGCGATCCAGTGGGCACGCGAGTGCTCGAACGGGCTAAAGATTCTGCACGCATTCGCAGGAAGCGCGAGGTGGTCCAGGAGATGGAGCCGGTGTACATGAGGAGGTCGCAGCTTGTATTGTAAAATACATTGGATTCTGCACGCATGCTCAGAATGGAGCATGCGCAGGATCAGGAAGTGCTGTTTTTTTTGCAATAGATGGAGCGGGTTTACATACGTGCCCGCAACGGGGGCCGCCCACTTTGCGCTGTAAAAAAACCGAAATGGTGCACGCATGTTCAGGATGGAGCATGCGCAGGATCAGGAAATGTTTGTTTGCAGTAGATGGAGCGGGTTTACATACGTGCTCGCGACGGGGGCCGCCCACTTTGTGGTGTAAGAAATTGCAAATTCTGCACACATGCGCAGGAAATGCTATTTGTTGCTGTAGATTGAGCGGGTTTGCATGGTGACTGGTTTTGTAGGGTTTAGGATTGAATAATTTTACAGGATTGAGAATTTACACTACGTATTAGCGTTCGCGGGGTTTGCTGCGGGCCCAATCGGCCTGCGCTTAGCAGGCTCGCTTCGGACCCGCTTCCTTCGTAAAACACGTAGGATTCGCGTCGCGACGGCAAGATTTCGGGCCTGCCGATGCCGTATTCCTTCGTAAAACACGTAGGATTCGCGTCGCGACGGATTGCGCGGAGCGCTTGTCGGGCCACGTCGGAGCCGCTCCCGCTCGCGCAGGGTCGCACGGGATGCTTGGCGCGCCGCTCCGGAGCCGCTCCTGCTCGTGCCGGCTCGCACAGACTGCTTGGGGCCGCTCTGGAGCCGCTCCCGCTCGTGCCAGCTCGCACGGAATGATTGTCGGGCCGCTCCGGAGCCGCTCCCGCTCGCGCCGGCTCCCAAGGAGCGCCTTTCGGGCCGCTGCGGAGGCGCGCCCGCTCGCGCTCGCTCTTCAGAATGCTTGTCAGGCCGCCCCAGAGCCGCTCCTGCTCGCGCCAGCTCGCACGGAATGTTTGTCGGGCCCTTCCGGAGGCCCCGCTCGCGCCGCCGGCTCGCACGGAGCGCTCGCGCAGGCTTGCGCCGGACTCGCTGCATCGTTCGTCATGGTATCGCTCGGGCTGGCCAATGCGTTGTGCTTTTCATCTTGAGGGTTTTGGGTGTAGGGTGTTGCCCGCCAAGCGGTGTGGGCGCGCGCACGCATCCCACCCCCGCATCAAGATTGTTGGGGGTGGGATGCTGTGTGCGCGCTCGCGTTCCTTGTCCTCCCGCCCCAATCCACCCCGGCTATTTTCTTTTAGGGTTTAGGGACACAGAGAGTTCTTCCCCCCGGCCCCCACTCATGGGGGTGTCGAACACCACGTCGTCCTACCTGAGAACGCGCAGGCGCTGTAACGCATTGGGGAACAGCCTCCAGGTTTAGTTCGCGCGTTGAGGAACGCCCGACCGGGCGATCTCTTCCGACTCTCGCAGGAGCGGTTCTGCGCGGTGGCGCACGCGCAGCGGTTTGCCGGCCAACGAGGTGTTGTACCTTGTGGCCCATATTACGCTGGCGACGCCAGAACCGCGCCTGCGCGCTCTTTTTCGATGCCCAGGCGCGCTGGCGAGCGCATATGGCGATTGAAGTAAACTTACCCAGATGCCTCAATCTCAGAAGCGATCATGGTGGACCACGACAAAGGGGACCAGCTCGCCGGACGCTCCGCGGCTCGCGCGCGCGCGAGGTTCCCGCGCTGACACCGCGTCGTCCTAGAGTCTCCGGTGTTCGTTCGCGCGTTGGGGGACGCCCGACCGGGCGACCTTTTCCGATTCTCGCAGGAGCGATTCTGCGCGGTGGCGCACGCGCAGCGCTTTGTCTCGGATGGCGGGAGGGGGAGCTCGAGGGGGCGGGCCTGGCGCCCCCTCGATGCGACGCACCAGGCAGCGCGTCGCGTGCGCCAGCCGGCCGGCCGTCCGGCCGTCGAGTGTATTCCTTATCGCTGAATTACGTTGGCGACGCCAGAACCGCGCCTGCGCGCTCCTTTTCGGTGCGCAGGCGCGCTGGCGAGCGCGTATCGCGATTGGGGTAAAATTACGCATATGCTTCAATCTCAGAGGGGATCATGTTGCGCCACGACAACGGGGACCAGTTCGCCGGACGCTCCGCGGCTCGCGCGCGCGCGCGAGGTTCCCGCGCCGGGGGCCCCTCTGGGAGCGCTTGGGGAGCCTCTGGGACGCGTGGGAGCGCCTGGGGAGCGCCTGGGAGCGCGCCCAGGTGCGCTGGGAGCGCCTAGAGAGCCCCTGGCAGCGTTTTCCTAGGTTTTCCGAGGTTCCTGGGGGATCTTGCGGTCCCGCTGGCGTTGGGTTCCAGCTTTCGGGTTCTTCTTTCCTGCTACGCAGGTAGCCTGTGGCGTAGCCAGCCTGAGGCGTGGCGCGTGGGCGGTCGAGCTTAACCTCTCCCTTTCCGTAGATCCTTCAGGCGCTCCACTGAACGCCCCGACCAAGGCTCGTATGCGTCTGGGGCATCCCGACAGCGACGCGTACTCGAGTTTAGGGTTTAGGGTCCACTCGCCCAAACTTGCAGCCCACTTGACCGTGTCCCACCCACCCATGACCCAAGACATATTGATCTCGATGCGGTATCAACACGCGACTCGCAAAACGACGACGAGGACGACACCGATGACGACGACGTTGATATTGTTTTCAAAACGACGACGACGCGGCCGCGCAAAGACACCTGGGATGCGGCTGCAACGGCGATGCGGCCCGCGCGCGTGACGACGCGATTTGGGGGACGACGCTCATGCACCGGTGCGTCGCTGGCGGCGTTCGCAGGGTGCTGGCGGCCGCCGAGAGGCAAGCGCGGCGCGCGCTGGCACTGGCCCCGGCCAGGCGCGCGGGGGACGACGCTCATGCAGCGGTGCATCGCTGGCGGCGCTCGCAGGGTGTTCACGGCGCGCCTGGCACTGGTCCCGGCCAAGCGCGCGGGGGGGCTGCGGAGCGGGCAGCCGCGGGTGCGCGGGGGATCTCACGGCGCGAGGAGGCCGTGCGAATCGTCAACCCCGCGGCCGAGCGGCGCCTGACCGGCCGCGGCGCCTGTGCTGCGGGCCGCGACGGGATTTGCAGATCCTCCCAGAACGCCATTCCTGGCGCTCCGAGGGCAAGGATCTGCGCGAGGGGTCTTCCAAAATGGGGGGGGGGGGGGGGGGGGGGGGGGGGGGGCGGCGAAGGGGGGGCTTTAGGGGCGCGGAAAGGGCTTCAGGATTGAAATTTTCATAGGCTCTTAGTTTTTAAGGTTTGCATGGCTGCGGCAGCACCTCCATGGCAGAGCCCGTGGAATGCCTTGGGGGGGCCCTCTGGCAGCGCTGGGGGGGCGCCTGGAGCTTCCCCCGGGAGCCCTGGGACCGCCTGGAACCGCCTGGGCACGCTTAGGAGCGCGCGGGAGCGCATGGGAGCGCATGGGAGCGCCGTGTGGCGCCTTGGAGCGCTTGTGGGTGCTTAAGAGCGTTTGGGAATGCTTGGGCGCCCGAGGGCACCTGGGAGCGCCGGGGAGCGCTCAGGAGCGCTTCGGAGTTGTGGCAGCGCTGGGAACGCTGGAGAGCGCCTGCGAGCTCCTGGGAGC